CGAAGGGGTGAAAATTTTACACGCTGGACCCACAACAACTCTTTAGGCAATTGCATGTGCACAACAGATGTTCTCTCTTTTCGAGAACCTAACAAACATGTGTATTAAATGACATGAGCCATCCAAGGTCTGAATTAGTAGGTAATTGATAATGATAAAATTGGCATGGGTTGAGTGCGTGGCCATGAGCTCAGCTCATGAGCTTTGTAGCTTGGTAAGGTGAGCTCCAACAAAGACCTCCTTGCTCGCGAGTGCTCAAGATCAGCAGCTTAGCTTGTCTTGACTAATTCAAATTAGCTGAGATATCCACTCTAAGAGGTGCCAGCTTTTGTTCCACTTCCAATGCTACTTCATTCAAATAATTGTTGAAGATCTACCAACGATACAATCCCTTAACCTATAAAAAGGCCAAGCCATGCAACACCCAAGTGAACAATCCATTCTCAGTTAAAATACAACTTATTCCCATCACCTTTTCTGACTTTACCATCGGAGGATTGACCGCCATAGTCCCTCTGACATTTGACTTGTTTCGTAGAACATCTCCTGTCACTGGCCAGGCCATTATTACAGCTATCCGTCATGGTGAGCAGATTTTGGGATCAACAAGCACAAAACCTCACATTAGAGTGGATTAGGTTGGCTAGTTCTAGCTCTACCCACTTCCTCTCCATAGAATTTCTTCATCCATGGCTCCAAAAAAGTGAGGTGACAAGGCTCCAAGCTTATGTTCATGAGGAAATTAACCAAAGGCCAAAAAAGTGGAAAGGCAGCGATGATTGAGGCAAGGGAAGAGAGAGATAGGGGGCTTGGTAGAGTTGCTTAGTTATAGAGATGACACAAGCTCTGGGCTTTTTATAATCCTTTTTTAATCATTCCTTCTTTAGAATCTAATGAAGGATAAAACTGTTTTATTCTGGACATATAATTTCCCTAATCACATCTCACATTCTTTATTTAGACCATGTAACAAAAGCATTGTCAGAGTTACGAATTTCATTACTTAGGTGCAACATGTACCAATTTAGGGGTTAGTATGCGACTAACCCTAAATTCAATGGAGTTCTATATAATTAACACTTTTGAAATGGATTAACAATATAGACTAGGTTATAGGTTATTGGTTCAACTAGTCATATAATTATTAATAATAAATATGCTAAAAGATTATATAATAGTTACAAAAATAACATATTTTATGTTATAGTAGATAAAATTAGAAGACAAAAAATATTCTCAATTCATTAATTTGCTTACATAAACGTTTGATTTAATTTGATAAAGTATAAAAAAAATCACTAATAAGCATTGAATATTTGGTATAAATAGTAACAATGTGATCATCAAAAAAATATGGAAAAAGAAAGGGAAAAANTATAATTTGATAAAGTATAAAAAAAAAATCACTAATAAGCATTGAATATTTGGTATAAATAGTAACAATGTGATCANTTTAATTTGATAAAGTATAAAAAAAATCACTAATAAGCATTGAATATTTGGTATAAATAGTAACAATGTGATCATCAAAAAAATATGGAAAAAGAAAGGGAAAAAGGAGCACAAAGGAATCCTAAAAGGTATTAAAAAAAATTAAACAACTAGGGAAACATAAATATGCTACATTGGAATAACTTTGGGCCTAAATAAAAATGAGAATCATACCTCGAAATTAATGAGAGCATGATTAAACGCATTTTTCTCAGCGGAGAGATTAACGTGGTATATTTGCTTATTTAACATAATTAAGTATTGAATGAGAAATTATATTTCAAAGTGACCCACTTGAATGGATAGAAGAAACTAAGCATGATGTGGTGTAGCATAATAAATGTTGTNCCTAAATAAAAATGAGAATCATACCTCGAAATTAATGAGAGCATGATTAAACGCATTTTTCCCAGCGGAGAGATTAACGTGGTATATTTGCTTATTTAACATAATTAAGTATTGAATGAGAAATTATATTTCAAAGTGACTCACTTGAATGGATAGAAGAAACTAAGCATGATGTGGTGTAGCATAATAAATGTTGTCCTACGTTGACTAGAAACCAAAAACTTGGTGAGTATACTTCTAGTTGACTTCTTGGGTTGGGCCCTACAGAGTACCACAATTTTATTAACAGAGCGAGCACTTACACAAACTTGGTTATCAAGCACGTCGTTTGCCTCACCACGATCTAGCCGGGCTTGGGTCAACAAATTTTATCTTTCTTCTAAAAATTTATTTGGCGGGTTGTGGGTCAAACCAATCATTTGTTCCTATCAAGTCCCTCACAAATTTCTTGGGAGAGAGACATTGCAAATTTTGTCAATTTAGCTTAGTTCAATCATTCAATCACAAAACGTTTAGGGGTGATCAAGTGGTTAAGTATGTCATCTTACAAGTTGCAAGCAAGAGGTTTTAAATTCAATACTTCTCATATCCCCTAAGGGTTAACCACTCTTGTTCCTTAGGGAATATGTCCTTATGGAGTTACGGTGGTCGCTTGAGAGCTCGAGAGAATAATCTACACAAACCTGAATATCTGTACAAAAAAAAAAATAATAGTAAACAATTATTCAATTGTACAAATCAAGAAAACTCATTGAATTAGGGGGTGTCCATGGACCGGTTTACTCATAGGTCCCGTTATCTAGCCCAAAAAAAATAGGTCCAAAATTCGATAGACCCGATAGTTGGTTCGTCAAATCCCGATTCTAATATCCTTAAAAAGAGGGTTTGGANAATAATAGTAAACAATTATTCAATTGTACAAATCAAGAAAACTCATTGAATTAGGGGGTGTCCATAGACCGGTTTACTCATGGGTCCCGTTGTCTAGCCCGAAAAAAATAGGTCCAAAATTCGATAGACCCGATAGTTGGTTCGTCAAATCCCGATTCTAATATCCTTAAAAAGAGGGTTTGGATTTGCCCCTAAACCCATTACCCGCCCTGAAGCCCGCCCCAATAGCCCGCCTGAAAAAAACCCTTTAAAACCCGGTCCAGGAGCCCACTCCCTAAGCCTAGTCCGCCCACCCTTCATTTGAAAAAAAATTATATTTTTAGACCATTAAATTTAAAACTTTAAAATAAGTCTTCCATTGTTATAATTTGAAATTTTAAAAATTTAGATACTATAAATAATGTATTATTTTATGTTCTATATATTAAGCATACAAGTTTTAAATGGTAAAGTAATGAAAATGATAGATAAGTGAGTAGGTGTCAACCTAGTTGAGATGCAATCATTCTATTTGATGTAGTTCATTCTCTAATCAAAAATAAAATTATTCATTAATTTATTTTTATCTATTTTGACTCTAATTTTTATTCAAAAAATATTTATTATTTTTAAATAAAGTTGTATATAAAAAAATTCGCAAGCAAGCCTGCCTAGAAAGATCGCGCAATAGGCTCGCGAGTTAGATTGTGGGTAGGTTACCCTTATCCGAAGCCCGATTCGATCTGCTTGATAACTCGTTTGGATAAGAATTTGAGCCTACACTACCCAAGTCCCGCCCAAAAAAAATTGAAAAATTTGGAGGCCGGTCCCTCTATATGGACTTGTGTTGGACTTAAGTCCGTGAAAGAAATTTATTTGTTATGAAGTACGTTTTTTGTCAATTTTACCATACTATCCATTTCCTTTAGAAGTGAAATAAAACTAAAAATTAAAAAGTCTTAAGTCTTAAGAGTTTGACTAACATTAAAATCTTTTCTCTCTCATATCTATCTATCTTCATATATAGATTAAGAGTTTGACTAACATTAAAATTTTTTCTCTCTCTTATCTATCTATATATATGTTATATATATGTGTGTGTGTATATATATATATATCAAATACAAAAAAAAAATTAATGCAAAAAATAATACAAAACTTTTAATAAAACATTTAAATACAAAAAAATAATAACATTTAAACATAAAAAAAAAATTAAAACATTCAATATTAATATTTTTAAAAAATAACAACAGTAACATGTTAAACAAAAATATTAACATTTTCAACAAAAATAATAACATGCTTAACAAAAACTGTAACATACTTAATAATAATTATTTCTCTCGAATTCAAACGCAAAAAATAGTAAAATTTAAATACAAAAAATAGTAATATTCAAAAAAAAAATAGTAACATTGAATATTAATATTTATGAAAATAATAGTAGTAACATTGTCAACAAAAACAGTAACATGCGTAAAAATAATAGTACATGAACAGTAACATATTCAACAAAAACAGTAATATACTGAATAAAAGTAGTAACATAATAAAAAAAATAGTAACATGAATTTGAATTTTACTATTTAAATTTATAATATTTTTTTTTTTTTGTATTTGAATGTTACTATTTTTTTTTTCATGTTACTATATATATATATATATATATATATATATATATATGTGTGTGTGGATATAGGGAGATAAGAAAAATGAAAAATTATAATATTGATCAAACTCTTAACATATATATGGATATAGATAGATATGAGAGAGAAAAGATTAATTTCCTTTCAAAAAAAGATATTTTTGAGGTACAAAACAAAAATTGAAATTAAGTCATTACATATAATTTTAAACATGAATTTAATCCCTTAAAAGTTTTCTTACGGCACTTATCTCCAAACAAATACATCTAAAAGACTCACTTCTAATTTTCGCTAAAAAAATTTTCTAACCTAACTCGACTCAGCCATTAACACCCGTACATTAAATCATCGACCGGTAATTTTATAGGATCACAAAAGATATCAAGACTAGAGAAAATCTTCGGGGTCTCCTTAAATTTGACAGTAATTGAAGTTAGTTAAAACTGATTAAATTTTTAATGGATTTAACTGTGAATGTAGGCCAGTGTATGCAATATGCATGGGTTCCGAATTCTTTGACTTCAAACTTTATTAATTTTAGTCAACTTAGATAATTTATTTCTAAATTTACTTTGTTTTTTGTTTTTTTGAGATATTTAATTAGTTTTATTTGTGGATTGTTGTACAACCCATTTAGATTCAGCCCCCCTGAGATTCAATATCTGATGGAAATGAACGAATTTCAGTAAAATTTACAGAATTGAAACTGTGAAACACAGATGGATTAGACCAGAATGAGGTAGCTGTAGAGATAGATACTTCTACAGTAGAGAGAGAGATCCGAGCTGAGACTGTGAACTGAAGAAGAAGACAATCTAATACAACCACCACCAAAGGGATCGAGTCAACTCTCTCTCTCTCTCTCTCGAACAGCTGCTCAAAAAGCTCTTAATCGATTCAAAAATTTCAGGTATTTTCTGCCCCTTCTTGGTCGATTTTTTTCTAGTTTTTGATGCATATATGGCACGTTAAAGCATAGCAGAATACGGATCTGTACCGATAATTTAATGCTATATTTGTTTTTTTTTACAGATTTGAGCTCAGCTGTACTGGAGTAGAGATCAGGTTGTTGAAGTATGATTATCTTTATTTGACCATTACAAATGTTTAGTTTGGTAACGTTGAAGTATATTCCTTTATATTCAAGCGGAATTTAGTAATGACAAGCTAAAAGCCCAATGACTTTCTGGGGTTTCTTGTTTATAAAACCCTAAAACAATTGTCCGACGTTCATTGGACAATTTGTATGAATTCTCTGATGTATGAGTTTTGTAGCTTGAATTTCAATAGAAAAATGGAGGAGCTATAGCTTTGGTTGAAGTCACGAAAGAAAAGAAGATCAAATTAATGGAAGATTGGTCTAAATATGCCCATAGTCCTGCGCACTTGGCAGTTGCACGGCGTGACTATGCTGGCCTCAAACGGATTATTTCGACCGTCCCCCAACTTGCCAAGGCTGATGAGGTTAATACAGAGAAGGAATCCCTTGCTGCTGAGCTGCAGGCTGATGCTGTGTCTGCAGTAATTGATCGGCGGGACGTTCCATGCCGCGAGACCCCCCTGCACCTCGCGGTGCGTCTCCGCGATCCGATATCAGCTGAGATTTTGATGGCAGCTGGGGCGGACTGGAGTCTTCAGAACGAGCAGGGATGGAGTGCGCTCCAAGAGGCGGTTTGTACTCGTGAGGAAAATATTGCTATGATCATTGCCCGGCACTACCAGCCCCTTGCTTGGGCAAAGTGGTGTCGTCGGCTTCCTCGAATTGTTGCCTCCGCAGCTCAAATTCGTGACTTTTACATGGAGATAACTTTTAATTTTGAGAGCTCAGTGATTCCATTTATTGGTCGGATTGCCCCGTCAGATACATATCGGATTTGGAAACGTGGGTCCAATCTCCGTGCTGATATGACCCTTGCAGGTTTTGATGGTTTCCGCATCCAGCGGTCTGATCAAACTTTTCTCTTTCTTGGAGAGGGATGCACGATGGAAAATAGAAATATATCTTTACCTCCTGGTTCCTTGATTGTGCTTGCTCACAAGGAAAAAGAGATCACCAATGCTTTGGAGGGAGCTGGTGCTCAACCATCGGAAGCCGAAGTTGCCCATGAAGTGGCCATGATGTCTCGAACTAACATGTATAGGCCGGGAATCGATGTAACTCAGGCTGAGCTTGTTCCCCATTTGAATTGGAGGCGGCAAGAGAGGACTGAGATGGTTGGAACCTGGAAGGCCAAGGTCTATGATATGCTTCATGTTATGGTGAGCGTGAAGTCCAGGAGGGTTCCTGGTGCTATGACTGATGAAGAGCTCTTTTCAGTGAATGATGATGAAAGGATTGTTAATGGGGGTGAACACAATGAGGATGGCGACATATTAACGCCAGAGGAAAGAATGCAGTTGGATTCTGCACTTTGCATGGGGAATTCACATGGTTTTTGTGAGGACGAAGAACCTCAGGTTCAGGATTGCCATGAAAATGGGGATGGGGGTTCGTTTGAAACTTGTGAATCCAATGTTATCTTCAAGGAGAAGAAGAGTTGGTTTGGTTGGAACCAGAAAGGTTCAAAGAAAGAAGGTGATGATCTCGAAGATTCAAAGATTCCACAGAAGTTCTCAAAATTGGCTCCCGAAGGGAGCAATGAACGACGCAATGATAGTCAAAGATCATTGTCTGAATTTCCCAAGGAAGATATGGGGGATCTTAAAAAGAGCAAAGATAAAAGCACCAAGATGAAAAAGAAAAAAGGGTCGGCAAGTGAGCCTAAGCATGAGAGCGAGTATAAGAAAGGTTTAAGGCCTGTTTTGTGGTTGACACCAGATTTTCCCCTGAAAACAGAAGAGCTCTTACCCTTACTTGACATCCTGGCCAACAAGGTAAAAGCTATTAGGAGGCTGAGGGAGCTCTTAACTACTAAACTACCTCCTGCCACATTTCCTGCCAAGGTATTCTTTTATTCTATTTGATTCTAATTTTTTTTTTGTTTAATTTGATAATTTCCCTCCTCCACCCAATGCTTAAGTACCTGCTGCTTAATTTTCTTCCTCATACAAAGCTTACTGATCACTTATATTCAAACATATTTGACTGCTTCCAGTCTGTAAATCTTTGTATATTCTTTCGTCTTACTTTAAACAATATGCTTTGAATTGGCAATCAAATCTGAGAGACATATTTCATTTTTGTATATAAGTTGTTACTTGATGTGCATCTTCTAAGGTATTTTTCAATTACATATGATCCGTAATAACTTATAATACAAAATATAACCAAACCTTTGCCTAGTGTCGGGCTCTTGGCATGTAGATGTAATTGAGTCTATATGAACCCTTTTCTCCACTTTTCACGATTGTTATTTATAGTCGCAGTCTCTTTGTTCTTTTGTACCATGATGGTGAATAAGCCCTTAATCTTCAACTTTTATCACGTCGATNTGTTATTTATAGTCGCAGTCTCTTTGTTCTTTTGTACCATGATGGTGAATAAGCCCTTAGTCTTCAACTTTTATCACGTCGATACAAGCTTCCTTTTTGAAAATTTAACCAATGTGTGTGTGAGTGATGATCTTCCATTTGGACACCTCAGCACGTCCCAGCTACTAAGAAAATTAATCCAGTGATTATGGTTTTCACTCCATTATTAACCTCTATGCCAGTGTTTTATTAGTAGCACATGCAGGGTTTTTGGCTTATGACTTTCTGCGGATCTGATTGTTCTATCTCGATAGGGACAGTCTTATTAGTCTATACCTTGTATATAAAGCAATGAACAACATTATGTGCAGGCATGTGGTGATAGACTGTAGAAACTTTACACTTCTATATATCAGGTGTAATCCTTTCATTTTCCTGTGTAAAAGATGTAGGGAATAGGTAAGTGTATCGAATACTTTAGGTTTATGTGAGAGCAGTTTTCTTATTGTCTGTTCCAGGTGTTATTTTAAGCTATACTGCAATTCGTTGTTTTTGACAAAGTTCACTGCCCCGCATATGCCTTTGTCTGCACTTGAAAACAGGCAATAAAATTAGGAATGAAGATGGAAGAATGCTGTAAACATCTTTGCTTCCTGGTCAAATCAAAATTTTTCCAAATGTGGCTGACAAGATTCATTCATTAACATATAATTCTCCCAAAAATTAGCCACTTTTGACAGTGGCCGTACTTTGTGTCATCATTGTTTATAGTTTGTCTGCTTTAGTCTTCCATCTACGACTGTATCAGCTATATTGTTTATGATTCTCCTCCTTTTTTCTGGCCATGTTTACCTTTGTGATATCTTTTTTTTTGTTGAAAATAGACAAAAAATTTATTGATAAACGAAGAAAGGCATCACTAGAGTAATAACCAAATCAAAGGTGGACAAGACGTCCCACACAATGATAGCTCATCGTGAAACATACAAAAGAAAGCCGAACTGGAAGCCACATGTGCTTCCTGGCTTGCAATGATACAAATGAGAGGAATATCTTCCAACTCCTTAGCAAGGTTTCTAAACTCGGGATCTTACCTTAGATCGATGGGGTGACTAAAAGATTGCGATTGTAGGTTCAGATCGAAAATCCTATGAACCTACGAACAAAAAAAATGGGACATAAAGCACATGAAATTAGATATAGTTTGTAAAAACAAGAATTAAACTAGCCTAGTATATATCCAAATAGAAATGTTATGACTAATATATAACTTAAGAGAGATGATTTAAATTTGATAAGCTACAATCTGAGCCTTGAATAGGGTTGAATAACAAAGATGAGTTATTAAACTTGCAGGATTTTGCAAAAAAGAATAGGAGAATGAAGTATTTTGATCTTAATTTCCAAAGAGGCAAAGAGAGATAGATATAGAGGAGAGACTGGAAAGTTGATTGACTGTTGAATAAACAACTTTAGTTATTCAACATCCAAAGAACAAAAAGGTGAAGAAAATAAAAATAAAAGACTATCTTGCTATAATAACGTGCCGAGAGAAGAGATCAAACCTAACGAATATTTTTAACTTTTCAACGATAGAGATGGATGAATGAAGAGAACTTTTTGTAACTTTTCTCATTCACAGAAATTCCCAATGGACGCGACAAGTATATGATACAAACACATTTGGGATTTAGTCCTTTAAGTATTCAAACAACAATTCTGAATTGGGTCAATTTGATAATTAAATGCACCTAACAAGCAAACCCAATAACTTGGATTAGTAAATTCGCAATTCGGATTGGAATCCTACGATCGTATAGGATCCGACTCACGATCCATTAAGATCCTATGAATTAGGGATTTTGCAAGAGAATCAAATCAATTTGCCTAAACTAGATTCGAGGATCTTAAGATCTTAGGATCCGAATTGAAATTTTGATAACCATGCTCCTTAGTCACTGAGGCTCAAAAAGAGGCCAAAAGGTAAAGTTTATTCTATAATCCCTCAAACTCTTCCCATATATCCTTATAAATTCTCGCATTCTTTTCCATCCAAATAACTCATATAGTAACAAATAGGGGTGTTAAATGAAATGAGCTGCTCTAGCTCAGAACATTTTTTGCTCGCTCAAGTTCATTCAATTTATAATATGAGCCAAATATGAACAAAATTTCAAGCTCGTTATACGAGCCGAGCTCAAGCTATTTGATTGGATCATATAAGCTCGACACTATTTTCCTATTCAATTTATGTAACACTCCAACTGTCTCATATTTGTCAACAACTAACCCAACAGTCACTCACGTGACTAACCAAAGTAATTCAAACTCTTTGTGCCCCCTCTCTCTCTCTCAGACCCTAACATACTTTATTGTTGTTTCTTTCGATTGTGACCAAAATCAAGCACCACTGGTACATTACTAGTGCTCCCATTACAAGATCAAAACCCAAGCATTACTGATCCACTGTTATGATAAATCCTTGCTGATTTTTGTTGCAAGTTTCTCTCTTTTCTCGTTTTTAATGGTTCATACATCAATACAAAATCCTGTTTTTTTTTTTTTTTAATGGTCCATGTATAATGGTATTGAAATTTTAAAGCTTGATGTAATGGTCCTACTTATCAAACCAAAACTATGCTTGCTTTTTATTTAATTTTTGCACAGCTATTAAAGCTTCTTTAAACAAGCTTGGATGAGTTGAGCCTGAACAGTTTGTTTTTCTAACAAGCCAAGTTTGAACAAAATTTTAAGCTTGAAAGCCAAGCTTGAGTAGACCTTAAAAATTACGAGTCAAACCTACCAAGGCTTGCCAAGCTCGGCTCGTTTATCACCGTAGTGTTGGGTACTCATTGAAAAGGCTCTCCAAAATATTCCCCAATGTCTAGTTTGCACACTTTGTCTATTCGTTGGTCTGAGGAGCACAAAGAAAGCACAAAGCCAAATGGCCTTTCTTTTTCTATTTCCCTCATGCCCCATTTCATCCAAACATAGCGTAGATGACATAAACCTTGGTGCTACCTAAGAAAGGCCCCCAAGGTTGAATAACTTATTACATAATGATTGTGCCAAAGGACAATGTTAAAATAAATGATCCACACTCTCATTATCACCTCTGTACATAACACACCATTGAGGTAGAGACTAATAATTAGGTCTCCTCTTTTGAAGAACATCATTTATATTAATCTTATCATGAGCAATATCCATTCACAAACTTGCACCTTTAAAGGAAGGAACTTCAGGCTTCCAAATCTTCAATGATTGGATAAAATAATGGAAGTAAAGTATCACCAATTAGAGACTTGAAGGATGATCTACCCGGCAAAACACCCGTTGGGTTACCAATTCAACATCTCCCCTATCTGCCGAATTTTGAGTCAAAGTAATATCATTAAGCATAGAAAGAAGGACCATCAACTCCAAGCATTCCCCATCATTAAGACTCCTACGAAAACTACAATTCCAGGAGAGCATATGAGATTATGACTGAATCATAGATGCAACCCAGATACGATGATAACAAGAGCTACAATACAAATGTGGAAATAGACCAGCAAAAGAAGACTCCACAACCCAAATATCCTCTCAAAAACACGTTCTTAATCCATCGCCCACAATGAACTTGATTCTTTGAGAAAATCAAGATAACTCCTAAGAAGTGAACTTTTACGAACTTAGAAAATGCCTATTTCAATCCCATTAGTATCTCACCCATCAACTTGTAACTCATATTTTCTCCTAAAAACATGATGTCACAATGAATCTTGCTCCAAAGGGAATCTGTCGAACCATTTTTCAACCAAAGTTACATTCCAATTCACCAAATGCCCTATTGAAAGACACCCTTGTCTTTTCACCTAGATGAGACATGGAATAGATCGTAATGTTGGCAAGACAGATTAGATCAATGTTAATCTATCCCTAGAAAGAAAAGGTTTCTCTTCCACACATCTATTTTCCCCTCAACGTTCTCAATAATAGGAGCCCAAAAAGTCCTAGACATCGAATTACCACCTAAAGAAAGACCAAAGTACTTCAATGACCAACCACCCACAGATCACCCCAACTCCATAGTCAACCTATCAATTCTTTCTTGACTAGAATTAATGCCCACAATGATGCCATTTTCCATATTAGCCTCAAGGCTGAAGATTACACCAAACATGTTAACAATCTATTTTAGATTCTTAATTTCTCTTCATCCCCCAAAAGAATGTAGTATGATTAGTATCAGGTACAAATTGCAAATGTGATACTGAAATGCTTTCCCTCCCTATCACAAAACCTGCAACTAAATTACATCTTTTTGCCCTTTCCATCGATCTACTCAACTCATCCACCACCAAAGTGAACGAAAAAGGTGATAAAGGATCCCGGCCCCTTGTACACCTTAAATTTGCCCCTGTGTTTCCCATTCAAAATGATTTAAGACTTTCGTCAACTCCAAGCATCCATTTATCCATTTTCTCTACCTCACCCCAAAGCCTTTTATTTCCAATACGAAATCCAAACAACTCAAATCCACATGGTCATTTGCTGTCTCAAAATCAATCTTCAACACAATACTCTCCTCCCCTTTTACCCTATACTCATCCACAACCTCATTAACTACGAGTGCCACTTAGCTTTGAACAATGTTAAAACCTTCTTGCCTTCCACATTGCAGGTTGCCATCCCAATTGTCCCAACCATTCGGGTCCTTGTCACTTTTACAAAGTTTGAGGAGCTTCAGCCACTGGAAGAATTCTCAACTCCTCTCTCCAGCCCTGTACATTTTCAAGATGCTAAGTCTAAGGAGTCAGAGGGGTCCACATCATGGATTTCATGGATGAGAGGAAGCCGAGGCGAGCAATCAAGTGACTGTGAAAGTCGCAGCTTTAGGGATGAGATTGACCCATTCCGCATACCATCAGATTATGCTTGGGTGGACGCTAATGAGAAAAAACGCAGGATGAAAGCCAAGAAAGCAAAGAGTAAGAAGCATAAAAAACAAGCAGCTGCTAGAAATCTGGATGGTGGCCACCAGTTGAGTGAGGATTTGAAAGAATAGGGGTACAGACAATTCTTATTGGTACAATGCTGCTTTAGGATCTTCTATAAGAAGAGGAGGTAAGGCACATTCCTTGCTTGTGTGACCTAATGTTCTTCCTTCGGGGTTGGTGGAAGGGTTTAGGGGATACTTGTTAGAGGATTGGTTCTTTTTGATGAAGGAGATCTTATCTTTTTCCATTGTTGTATTGTTATGTGATGTGAAATTGGTGAGTAACAGAATCTTCACCTTAAAGCTTTGTTTCTGTGGTGATTTTTTTTATATTGCTCCCTGTATCGATATCTCAAACTCCTAGTGGTTGAAATGCATTTCTTTAAATATTGTGTGGCTGCGGTTTTACATGCATTTTTCAGTTTAACAGAGATGTTATGATGAACTTTCATACATTCTAACCAGTGTACAGAGAATTTTATCAACATTGCCAGGATTTCAAACCCCGGTGGAGCTCTTCAGGTAGTTTTTCATAGTATGTCAAACTATTTCTACCTTCTTTCCTTTTTGAAAAAAGTGCTTTTTGGACTTGCGATTTATAATAAGCGAAACAAAAACGTTGTGCTTAGAACGATTAGAAATGGATTTACGACTTCAATAAAAGCTTTCTACTTTGTTAAGACATGTCTTTTTATGCATCTCTGCCACTGTATCCCATGACCGTCACCTTGCTGTCATCACCACCGCCCCCACTCTACTACGACAGTCATCATTCCAACTGTAGGTGGTAAAATTACAATACTTCTTAGGTTTGATGAAAAAAATTGTATTCCTCTCTCCAAGTCCTCCCTGCAAAAATGAATAAACTATGTAAGACTGAAGGGTTTCGATTGAAGGTATTTCGATGGTTAAGTCAGTAACTATATTGAAAGAGTATGTATCCAAAGAGAATTTTACTTACTCCTTACAATATATATTGCCTACTTTATATAGACTTTGTCCTGTTTCAAGGATTTCCTTTATCGATGGAAGAGATGGCATATCTCCCTTCATTTGGGAATGTTTATTTGGGATCATTGAAATCTCTTCAGACACTCCCTTAATTTCATTTATTCTGAGTCATTGACTTGCATAGTTGTTGCACCTAAATTTTCCCAATTGTAGGCGTTTTTCATTTTGTTCTGCTTGGGCCATATTTTCAAGTTGAGTTGTGCAATTATGCTTGGTACCATAAACCGACCAGTCATAGTTCGGTTTGGCTCGTACCATTGCTTCTATTTGTGACCCACATGACATGTCCTTTTAAGAACACTTGATTGTATTGTCTGTACAAGTGACATAGATTTATGTCTCTTCACTCATCTCCCCACCATCATCATCACTACAATTACCTTCGCTATTACCATCACTACTATCGTTGCGGTTATCAACAGCACCATCACCCTCCCACAATACAATTGTTTTAAGAAGTAATCTTTGAATTTCGTAAGTCATCCTAAATTTCATCCAATAATCTTATTCATTCCTCATTATCATAATTAATCCTGTGCAATCTTAAAAAAATGTTGTTCTAGTAAAATTAGGATTAGATAAAAGATTATTTGATAATCCATCTAATCGGATTACATACATACACCCCCTCACGTTTAAAATATTACACTTAGGCCCCTTGTCAGTAACGATTCAATAACCGAACCAACGGAATGAACTAAAAGGCCAAAATGCCCAAACAAACTAGAAGATATTTTGGGATTTAGCTGCAATTACCAAAATCCCTTTGGCCACATATATAAACAAATTCTCACATTTACCTGTCCCTCTATGTATCTCCGGCACCTCTTCGGTTTCTCCTCAAATAGTGCGTTCCTCTGGTTTTAGGGAGAGCTGTGAAAATGGTGGAGAAAGTAAAGGAAGAAAAGAAGAGGTCATCACCAGATGAGTACACCATCAATCTCGGCAAGTTCTTGCATGGATGAATATTAGGAAGAAAACTCCAAAAGCCATCAAGGAAGTCAGTTAGTTTGCCTAAAAGGCTATGGGGACAACTTATGCGATAATTGATATTAAGCTAACCCACACATATGGAGCCCCGGGATTCGAAGTGTGCCGACGGAAGAGAAATGACGATGAAGATGCCAAGGAGAAGCTTTACTCACTACTCACTGTTGCTAAAATTGCGACAGAGGGGTTGAAGGGATTAGGCACCAAAATCAATAATTTAACTAAGTTTTATCTACATCAGGGTAACTCTTTAAGTATTGTTTCTTAATCATTGAGATGTTTTGTTTTTGGATTTAATTTCCTTGGCAATCTTACTGAGTCGGGTTTTTTTCTTTCAGAAAGAAAAAATGAGTTTTTTTTAAATTTTGTTTCAATATAAGACATGATTGAATATGAAATAGGTATTGTTGCTTAGGATTCTATTTTTTAACCTTAAAAATGCACAGAAAGAACCAAAACTTGCAAGATTTAAAGAATAAATTACACATATAAATAATAAAATTATAAATAGTAAGAAAAATATCACCTGTTCACCACTCTGCTTCTAATATTGAGATGTGGTGTTTATCTAGTCATTCTCCAACCCATCAAGTTAAACGGGGAGAATATCAACTGATGCTGGGTTTCATGGGTAGTTTGGGGATTATGCTTGCATAATATGACAACTTTATGAAATTTTAACCCTGAACTTAACAGACACTCACAGTATAGGTTGTGTGTTACGCATATGTAAACTTTAAGGGGTTTATGTGTAGTATTTAAGACTTGAAATAGGTGATTAAGTGACAAATTTTGAAAGATTTGAATGTAATTTATCCTTAATTTTATTCCTTGATAAATCACTAACTGTATGTTAGTGGAGAATCCACTTGATCTATGATGGGAGATTTACTAATAAAAGATATTGACAGACTGGAAGGAATCTATAACCCATCACCTCCACTACTTACAATCAAAATAAGAAAAAAAAATGCATAGATAATGGTTAAGGGCGTCGCTTTGCAAATCTCTGGAGACAGGTGACAGATAAGCAATTTCAAAATGACAACCCATATTAGCATAGAAAATATTTTACCTCCTTCCGATTGGATCCAAAACACCCAACCTATTGCTTAAAAATGAGAAGGTTAAATACATATTTTCAAGCCATAGCTAGGCGAAATGCCAAGAGCATGTACATCAAATTTACCACCATGCTAAAAGCCGATTATTGTGATATTTAAGGTAACATTGCATCCCTCATATTTTCAACATTTGCTTCCACAGCATAGAATAACGTTACCTGTAACTTTAGTTCAAATTTCCAAACAAAATTTTGAGGCAACATGAATAAAATCATTATGCATCTAATGCTAACTAGTACCATCTAATAACAGCTCTGAAAATCATGGGTTTACATTATTCCCAAGGACAATGAAAAGAGAACTATATTGTGTGGTTAAAGAAACATACGATACAGTGATCAATACCCACAATGTTACTCTCATTGGCATATAATGCTCCCGCCTGCATCTCATCATCTTTGATACTCGAATTTCACTTCATTATTGCATAAGATATATCAAAGTATTACAAACAACTCCCTACAAGAATTTTTTACAAATCGTGAAAGAGCCTCCTAATCTGGTCCACTGTTGCAGGCATCAATGTGACTGGGCAGCGCTTGTACTGTGGCCATGCAAACCAGTGAATAAAATATCCACGTGTAAATATAGTCACAAAGTATAAAAGGAAATCTACAGGAGTTAAAAATTAAGTAGACTTTCGAAACAAGCTGCAAGGTGATTTTGCCCTCAGCTTGGGCGTACTGCAAGATACATGACCTTAAGAAAGTATGGGATGTATGAAAATAAAATGCAACTCATGTTTATTCATTTGGACCTGGCCAGAGATCAAAATGGAATATTACATATCTACTGGATTACTTGTACATATATATACTCTTTCAGATATCAAGGAGATAACACCTGATTATAATACGAGATACTTATAAACACATCTTTCACATTTTGGGACACACTCAGTTTAGATTTATCCATTTCCCGTTCCAAAAATAAGGAAAAATCAACTACTTCTATGCTAAGAAAGAAACAGCAGTGGGATCAAATAATCATTTCAACATGATAGGTCCATTCAATGATATATCCTTTTGGACTAATTTTTATTCATCAAGTGCCTTTAGTTATGCTCCCCAATATGGTAAAGAAATAAAGAATATCTTCAATCTCATAATAGACAAACAACCAGAATCTGAGATCTCACCTGAGAAACATACTTAAATATGCAAGCATAACAAAAGACGAACCCTGAAACTACCAGTACCGATGCATTTGCACGCCTCTGTGAACACAACGAACACAATGTTCTATCAGGTGGAAGTGGAATCCCCTCTTTGGCTACCTATTTCATTATTAACCACATAATATACAGCATTAAAATTCATCTCAGAAAACATAGCATTAACAATCATGCTATGCTAATTGATTGAACTGCTCGAAATAAATCTAACCGACAACTTTTAAGTACAAAGATAATCAAGGAATGTATTCCTCCCTCTAAGCTTGAAGGGATGCTCATTTTGTTGAAAATGTGTTAATAGTTGCTCTAATGCATGATTTCTTGTCTCTTTCTGTGTCTCTGCCTGTGTTAGCACATGTATATAAGTGCACGCACACCTGCTGTGTGTGGGGGCTTGCACATGTGCATGAGCATGTGAGAGAGACAGAGAGATTTCAATCAATTAAATAAAATTACATGATTGCCACCTGGATAGGTGTAACTAATGCACAATGATTCGTCAAAAACAACAAATGCCAAAAGTGAAGAAAAGAGGCCACAGTTATGCGGGTAATTGTTAATCACTTGGTGAAAACTACACATTTATCTGCCCTTGTATATGCCTGCCTACGATTATGAAACCTTGAATGGATTTAGCAATAACAATTACACTGATTCAATTCATTTTTTACTCTAAACAAGGTGGAATATTTTGCAAGTGACTGACCAAATAAAAGTGGAACATTGTGTAAAAGAGCTATCAAAGTTTAAATGTGAAACAGTTGTAATATATGTTCAGGATGTCAATCATTGACAAAAAAATAGTCTCCCACATCTCATAAATGAAATGTCACTCACCTTTGGGCGTGGAGGAGGCGGTGGTGGAGGATACACAGTTGGAGCTGACATTCTCTCCTCAGCGGATTGGTACCACCATTCCATCATCTATGAGCAATCCACATCAATGTAACAACATTCATGGATTCTGATCACTTTAATACTAGTACCACCAATAATAGACATTCATGCATAAACATGTAGGGATAAGAAAGAAAGGGGTAGGGGTTTTGAAATGCATTGTTCAACAGGATTAGGA